CCCCCCCCCCAAAAACAAACCACCACCACAAAAACCCTCACAAACAAAACCCCCACAATTACCAATAAAGGACATCTTCGCCAAAATTAAAACATCATATAATCCAAATGCAAATACACTTTGAGAACTCACAAGGAAATTCTTCAGTTTAAAAGTTACAGAAGGCCCGTACAGAAATGTCATTGTGAGACTGTCACTTCTCAAACTATAAACATACCATACCACAGAAATCTTGAATGTACCACATCTACTTGAGGGTGACTGAAAAAGAGATGAGCTTGTGATAGCCTTCCTTTTCATAAACAATGATGAAAATCATCTGCATAAATGTTCTCTTTCAGAATACTATCAGCTTCCAAAATTAACAGCTATCATTCACATCTCTTACTATACTAATGCCACAGCTACCTTGAGCTGAAGAGCAGAAAGGCTCCATACAATGTGTATCACCATCTTCCCTAAGGGCAAGTCAGTTGCATTCCCATGAGGAATGGGATTTTGGTGCCAGCGAGAACAGCAAGTGGCATTTCAAAGACAGTTATTCTCAATTTCCCCTTTTTGTCTAAAATCTGAGAAAATAAGGTTCTTAATTATGCAGAAGCAGTCTTCAACTCTAAATTTTTCTAAATTGCTCATTTGCACATAGTCCAAGAAATAGGGACAGAAAGGAGAACTGAAGTATATATTCTCTGTATTGTTCTACAAAAACAAAGCTGATATAATCCAGATTTAGCTGACTAGTAAAGACATGTGGAAAGTTAGGAGTTTCTGAAATCAGTCTGATACTGATACAAAACTACAAGCTGAATTATTTTACCATAATAATATCCAGTAATTATACTAGTATTATTGTTCCCATGAGGAAGCATCTGAGTTTTCAACTGTGCAATAACGCAGTCTTACAGTTAAGAGCAGAGGGAAGCACAAGAGGCTTTAATCATAAGGACATTTCCTACACACTCATGGCTTCATCCATACTATTTACATTAAAAACTACAAGGAACCAAACCTCTAAGCTACTCTGGACACTTGGTAGAAACACAGGTGTAATTTGGGTATAATTTAAGATAGACTGAAGCCAAATCAAGCTTAACTTTAAAATACTGTGTCTTGTAAGAATACCCCAAAGAAGCGTGACTAATGTGTGTTTTTGGAGGGTTTCTTTGTTTTTTTTTTAAGAGACTTCTTGAATCACATTCAATAGCAGTGGTATTTTAGGGTTTTTTAAGTAAGGGAATGGAATACTATGACGAGATACTACCAAAATCATCCACATACATGACAAAGTTGTCTAGTTAGTTCTAGAAGCCTCACATCTATCCTAAGTATTATTAAATCTCTTAGTGGTCCTCAACACCATAAGATATCAATTTCAGCCAGACTGAATGTAAAATCGGGCAGACTAATCAGATCAAAATGGCTGCTCTATTTTTCACCACTCAGAAAAGATGATGAACACTTACTCCACTCCTACACTTAATAGAGCCTAAAGACATCAAGGAAGAGAGTCTAAAAAATTGACCATCTGTAACTTCCTGCTGCAGAAGGCTAAAGTGAATCAAAAAATTAAGTCTCCAGCACTTGAAAGATGCTGCTTATACCTGTTCCTAACAGATGGATACGATCCAAGTTCCAACATACCAAGCACCTGAATGACTCCATGTGACTTGTCCTGTCCAGCACGTGAAGGACACAAATTCTAGTATAATAAAACGGGCTTGTACACGTAGTTAAGTCTAGAGCCTAAACTACCAAGCTGGGAACGGCTCCCAATAGCAACATACCACAAACATCACAAGGGAACAATCACTCAACTGCAAAGTATTAACAAGTTAAATACTTGAGTTGTTGAAAGCAAATGTAAGTACAAGCATGTTTTAACACCAAATTACGTGCATAGGCAATCTGAAGTAGGTATTAGTTGAGATATTAATTTTCAGCTTCTTCTCCATGGAACTGCTCAAAGAAATGCACAACTATGCCATGCTGTCAGCAGCTGTGTAGAGAAACTTGAGTTCTATATTTGCAGCAAAGTTCTCTTTAAAAAAAAGTCTTCAAAAAAATCTATTAAGTCTTTTTAAGTCGAAGACTTTCAAGTCCCATTTTCCCAAGCAAGCCACTACTGAACAAAAGCAAGTTCTCCACAAACTTAGCCAGACTGCGTAGTTTTTATTTTAGGTACTCCTGAGCTAAATACGTAATTGAAGAATGAGTAGTCAGTCCAAGCCTACTTAAATATATGTATTTTTTTACATATTGGGGAAGAAGGGATGCAATACTAAAACCTATCATGAATTGTGAAGTCAGCGGAAACAGGGATTGCAATTTTACCTGCAGTACACAAGATCTTACCTCAACCGTTTCAACTGTCCACTCATCTACCTGTTCCTTCTCACTACTGCTGAACTGAGTCTCTGCCATGAATTGTCTGTTTACATACTAAAATAAAAATAAGAAAGGGTATGAAAGTAAAAGTAAGTGGCATTAAAGCTATACAAAATGACAGTCTTTCCAGTGAATAATACCTCAGTTGATTCAACTTCAGTTGGTTCAGTAAATTCTTCCGCTGGATCAGGCTCTGTAAGAAAAATATACCATTTATGTGGAAAAAAAAACAAACAAGACAAAAACCACGTTACAGACCTAGAAGATACAAAGTTAGATGAAAAAATCTCCCCCGATAAAATTGGAATTTTGAAGCGTGATGCATTTTTGCAGCCATCGTTTATCAAAAACATTTACTTTTAAGTGTTATAGACTATTACTACACAGGAAGTACAGCTAGGTATAAGAACGAATGGACACACATTTACTTCTGACATTAATGTCTAATATTAGAAGCTTGCTATACATTAAGGAAGGAGTCGCCTTGTCAGACATCTTCAAAGGGATGGGATTTTGATTAGAACTGAAATTAGGGCCTCAATATTGCTGACCTGTACAGTTAAGTATCTGCTGGGTTCAGCAACAAACCTAATGTTACAAAGTAGATAAAGAAACTTGTGTCTCAGAATGAGGAAAATAAAAACAACAGGACATTAACAGAGAATTAAGCAATAAAATATTCTCAGAGTTTTGAATTAAAAAGAAAAAAAAAATTCACATTAAATTCTTACTAAGGAGAGTTACGTTCAATTACCCCAAATTTCAATTTTCTCCACAACATATTCAAAAGGGAAAAAAGGTCACAAATTTTTTTCTTCAAGTTTGGTACCATACTCTGCTTCAAAAACTCTTCCATTCTAACAAAAGATTAAACTAGTGGGAACCATTGAAAAAATAACTTTAATCTTTGATCATTTTAACACTACAGGCAAACAAAATTTTGTTTATAAATCATAATGAGAAGTTCTACAGGAAAACAAAACAGGAAAAAGATGTTGGCAACAATTTTCATTTGCATAAACCTGCTTCTAAATAATTTGTTAGCCTGGGTTCTTATTTCAGCAAGTGACATGTTGGACAGACAAATGCTGAAAGATGTGTTCGGAACCAAGTGCTACTAAGTGACTTTGTTCCTGCATTCAGCTGACACTCCACAGTTAGAACAGTAAGCCTTTCCTTGCACGTGACGGAAGACATTTACAATGTGAGCATTAGAAAGGATTTCGGTCCCTCCAAAGAAGTAGCTGCCAAGACTCAGCCTTACAGAACTCTTCTGGAACACAGCTCTGCTTTTCCTTCCTCATGGCTCAGAGCAGGGCTGAACAGATTGCCTGGCTAGATGTACACCTCATTATAAAGAAATGACATTGCTATTCAAAACACCAGTACACCTGAAGAATTCAGAGACAGGTGCTTTTTGCACTTAAAACTGCATTTGCAATTCAATCATTCTGATGAATCCAAGAGACAAGACAGTACAACACAAACAAATATCCTAGTCACGAGGGATCTTCATATTCTTACCAGTTTCTGCCACAGGGTCTTCTACTGCAGGTGCGGGTGCTGCCTCTTCTTCCTCACATAATCCGTTCTGATGGTTATGGGTGCTATCAAAGTAACTAGTTTGAAGAATACGTTCAACAATCTCCTTTAGCGCTTTATCTAGGAAAATGGAAGAAGTTAAAGATTAACAGTAACTCCATCCTAACCATCCTTTCCTTCCTTCCGGAAGAGCCCACATAAATTTTATTAACCTTTTGCTGGGAAGATGTCGCAGCCCCAGGATAGTCCACAGACACTACTGTTACAGAATTACTTCTGTCTTATCAGGTCATATTTAATAAATCAATAAATAATCAACTTCTCTTTGGAAATATCTGAAGGGCAAGGAGAATCTTAGAGTATGTAATACTCTTCACGAGGTTTGTGAAACACTTCAAAGTGAGGTAAAGTTTACGAATTTAATTACCATACTTTTATTCCTGCTATTTCAAAAATCTCTGGTTGCTTAGTTCTCAGTTTGGAAAGTTTTAGGAACTCACTGAAGTTTCAACTGTAACTGATTTATTTGTAATTTCCTAAGTAAAAAAACCTTACTGTAAGTCAATTTCTTACAAAATGACTGTCAGTACAAACACATTTACACAGATACCACCTTCATGAAGGTTCTTCCCCTGAGGTGAAGTGGCTCAGAAGAGCTTTTGTAAGCGAAACAAGCACCAGCTTGCACTCGGTGCCTCAGATGAATGCTGTGGCGTCTTAACCCAAAACAAAATCAGCCAGATTGGCAAGGCAGCATTACTGACTGTCTTGGCCAACAAAACCCAAAACAGACTCAAAATGGAAGATTCACAATGCATGTCTGACAAGTGATGATCACTGAATCAACGCATACACACAGAAAAGCGCAGAAATACATTAACATTCAGCCCTATTATAAGACGAAGCAAACCAGCAATGGCTGCCAATGACATCACTAAAAGCTCATCTTGAGATCCAGATACAATACCCAGCTCCACTTCATCCAGTAAGAGAATGACTAGGTCTCCAAGGAGCATACACCAGCTCTCTGCTGAAAACTATCTCCATACCTTCTCCTTCCTCCACCTCTTCAAAAAAAAAAAAATACACGGTACGTATCTGGGCTCTCACAAAGATCTAACATCACAACCATTTCAGACTTGAGTTCTTGCAGAACAAATGTTAATTAAAAAAAAACCTAACAAATATATATACTCCTCACAAAATTTCATTTCAACAATATAAAAGAATTTGAAGTTTCCTATTCTGCCACAAACAAGGAAAATTTTATTTCCATTAAGGCCACAATATCTTACAATCGCCTGTGTATCATTCCTCAATAACACAGGTTAGAAAGCAATTGCCATACTATCATTCCACTTTCTATGAACAGAACACAAAAAACTCTTTCAACAGCTCAATATTACTCTAATATAATAAGGATAATTGAGAATGTTTTTAAAAAGAGGAAAGTTGTTAACCATTTTACCTACAAATAAACGATACTCTTGCCTAAAACTTTCCTATTGATTTCCAATTAAGAGACTTCAAAAATTCCCCATGATACAAGAAACAGACAACTGCCTAGCAGAGCCATTGTCTTAAGGTCTAATGCTAGAAGCTATGTATTTGTAAAAATCCACATTTCTGCAAGAAAGCAGTCCATCTGACGGATTGCACCCTGATTTACAGTTAATCAATCAAAACAGGGCAAAATCAGAATGCTTTTTGCAGGAGACAAGGGGGAGCAGAACATCACACTAAATACAGCCATGCCATGCATTAGCTCATATTATTGACAAAGCTCCTTGTTCACACACACACTTCCAGAAAACAAATAATTGCTACTAAGCACCAACAGCAGCAGAATACTGCTGAAGTAGCAGGAACGGACTAAGCTTAAATACCGAGTAATGCTGCATCGGTAAAAAAAATACGCCACACAGTAAGCTCACACGTCAGTAAGTTATTCTGTTACAGTCCAGGTAAGGTCTGAAAAAGAGTAGCTACTCTAAAAACTCGGAAAGATAATTAACTGCCAAAGTTCTCTTATACCAGACACTGTATTTTAGTTGAAGCACAAATTCAGTGTGCTGTCTCTTAATACAGAGACTGTACTTACAGGTTGTTCCACAAACTGGTTTTTCCTTCCCTTCCAGTAAGTCCCACAGGTGAACAGATGCTTGCTCATACTGCTCATTCAACCTTAAAAAAAAACCAATAAATAAGAGTTAATTTCTTACCAAGTCTTTAAATTACCACAGTACAAATATATTGCTGACTGACAATTACAAAGAAAAGTACTTTACTGTAAGCCTACCTCATGTTCATGTCTCGTTCAGGGTAAACTAGCTTGTAAAACTCATCCAGCATTGTCAGTTCCTCCTCTGTCAGTACTGGTACTCCGTTTGATCCTTGTTTCAAGTCGTTGCGCACTTCGTCATCACCCAACTTGTCCAAAATAAACTGTAGCTCGAGTACAGTCTTTAAACGCTTCTGCTCAGCTTCTTCTCGCATCAGTTGCTCCCTGCGAGCTGTCTTTTTTATTGTTTTCTGGATCTGTTTAAAATGAAAGGAAATGTTAAATTGTTTAAACTTGGATTCTGTAGTGAACTCAGGGCAGAAAAAATAGATTTGAAATGTCTTTTATTGACAAGTAGCGATGGATGTTGTTGTTGAGCTGCCACTTATCAATCTAACATTATAGCAGAATAACCTGTGAAATTTGAGGAATATCTTTTAAGCAGAGCCAAAACCCTGCAAATTAAGACAAACTTTAAAATCAATGCCACAAACCTTGGATCATATTGGATCTTAATCATGTTCTTACTTGGAAGTCTGTACTTCATGACTTACAAGCAGTTCAGTCAAGTAACTGCAGTTATCATGTCTAAAGCTTCAGACATGAATGTGTTACTTCAAACAAACCCAGCTCGCTATTATCTGCTTCCTTTATGAAACATCTTCTAAACACTAAGTGATTTTGATCTGGATGAAAGTGGCAAAAATGTACAAAATTAAGTACCTTTTAAACAAACATTGTGGCCATTTACAACTTCTGGCTTCCTTAACTCAAGGAGAACTTAGAGCAATTAGAAGTTACAGAGAAAGGCACCTCAATCATTAAGGGGACAGAGCAGTTGCCTTTCAAGCAGAGCCCAAGTCTTGGATTCTTCAATTTGGAGGAGTAAGGGGGATCCAGATTTTTCATAAAGGCCACAAAGGCCAGCAGATAACGAATAGAGCGGTTATTCACCACATCCCATGACAGTAGGAGGCAATCATTGAAACTACTGGGAGATCAACTTCAAATAGGTAAACAGAAGTACTCTTGTTTCTTACACACCATGGGAGGGAACTCATGGAATGTTTTGCCATGAAAGGCTGGGGAGATAAGACAATATTGGCAAGTTCAAAAAGGATTGGAACTAATTCTTGGACATGAGGGCCACAGACAGACACTAAAGGGAACGGGAACGCATCTACTCTCGAACATTCTCTGTCTGAGGATCACTGATGTCCTAAGAGAATGGATGACAGACAATAATCAGCCTCGTACATAGTACCTTCTAAAACTGCTGTCATAATAGTGGTTTAAATGTATCACTAGTCTGAACCTACAGCACGTTTCTTCCATTCTTATTCTTAATCCAACCACCTAGCATCCAAAATTCAGCTTGCTCTCTTTGTAACTATAGAAAGCTTTAATCTTCTTTTACAAAAAAATGTAACTTGTGACAGTAACTTTCTCATTCTGAAGCATCTGCATTTCTTTTTTAAAATCAAAGACTGATCTTAAAATCAACTGTATGGGAACCAAGTCCCATCAGGAAAAATTGCAACCAAATTTGAAAGCAGAGCACCGATTTATTACTCCTGGAGTCACCCACTTCTTTTAGCAGTCAGCTGACCAGGAAAATATTTCAGGACCGACTTGTCAGAAGAAGAAATTTCTTCATTACTAACATTCCATAAAAATACATGGAACCCTGATGCAAGAAAAGCAAAGAACCAGCTTGGCTTAGGGGCCTATAAATTTACAAACACATCAAATATAGAAAGCAGTTTATAATGTGAGGATGCTGATGCCCTTCAAATTATCACACAGGCTGTTCAAAAACTAAATACGCTCATTAGACCAGTCTGCTGCACTAATATCAACTACACAATGAATTCCACCAATGTTGCTGCTCTTTCCGTAACTCGTTAACTCTAACTGTATTACTGCATTTAGAATCTTCCCGTCCTGCAGAATGGGTTACGCTTCCAGCTTCCCCCAGAATTAATTCTTCCTTGCAATGATACTGCAGAGGTCTAAAATGTGTCTTTTTGTTTGCAGCTCTTGGCACAAAGAAATAAAGCAAAGCTGTTCATATAACTGAAATTGCCTATTAGAGTTTTAGAACTCATTCTTGATTACACTGTTACTTTACATCCTTGATAAAACACCAACCCAAAAGATGACCTGTTTTACTAGTATTCAGTTAACTTATCCTTTATAAAAATAGTATTAATCCTTGTCCATACTGCAGTTTCAGACTGTATTTGCAATTAACAAGACAGCAAGAATCCTGAAAAAGGAACTGCAATGCTTGCAGTTGCTGAGCCTTGATATCCTATGGTAATATAAAGAAATAAAAAACCTCAGCCACTTGCCAAAGAGACAAGCAGACCTGCGAAATCTGTTTGCTTTTGAGAAAATGTTACTCTTTTGCAATCACGCTGTTTTCAACAGGTACATTTTGTCAGAAAATTACATTATTTTTGTTCCCATACATTTACGTAGTCGATCAGAAAAATCTTTTAGGAATAGCTTTCAGAAAACCTGACACAAACTAGTACACAGAGTAAAAGAAAACAGCCAAACATACAAGAAATCGTGAGCATTTAATCTCTGTACATAGAGGTAACTACTGCATCTAGTGAGAGTTTAAAGCCCAAGTGGTTGGTCTTGCAGCTGATAGCCCACATTGCACCACTTGCTCTTTACTTACGTCTTGGCTCAGAGCCATAAAACTCCTCTGCAGTTCTTTAGCAAATTCCAGATTATTTGTCACTTCCTGATATTTTGACACTGCATCCTTAAAAAAAAAACACAAAACAACACACAAAAGTAAACCGTCACAAATAGAATAAAATATGTACTTCCAACAAAAAAAATTCCCACATTTTTAGTTCCTAAGTGAGACACAGCATCCCTGAATGGGACTGCCTGCAACAATGTTAAGTCAAACTTTGATTTTGTACTGGCCAAAATATTGAAAAGACTTGTGTATGTCTTTAGGGCCTCTAGTTTCTTACATAAATATGCTAAAGAATATGCATATACATGCTCACAGGCATGATATACTAGTTTAATGTTTGGCTTGAGCCAGTTTCTGAAAAAAACTCACTGGCAGGCCAGGGGAGTGAGGGAGAAGACGAATCTGGCAACTCAAAGCTGCTCAAGAGATAATGATTTGAGAATTAATGCATTCTTATCTTGAGTCAGAGCAAAAATCAAAATGCTACACGGAGCATAATGTTCCTTTCTCCAGAAATCTGTATTATTTTCTATTTTCTTAAGTTCTGATTTGCACCAAAGCAATCCAAACTCCTTAACCCACTTTGCAGTACTGAGAAATTACAGAGAGTCAACTCAGGGAAAAAAAAAAAAAACAAAACAGCTGAGACATTTACATTCCTGCCATGACAAAATTAATAACGGATATGTTCTTGGTAAGAACAATTGAGCCAAAGAAAAGGCAAGGTCCTACTTTCTTTGAAAAGCAAGGAACACGAACTATATTCGCTTTTTTTTTCTTCAGGATTTCATTTGTAGAAATAAGAAAGTTACACGTATACACGCATTACATATTACACGTATGCATTAGGTGATGTACAAAATTCATCATTCTTAGCTGATTTGTAGAAGCAGAAGACTAAGTGAAAATAAATACTTTCAGTATTTCTCCAACAAAAAAAGATTTTATCTTTATCAAGTGTGGTCGTCACAAAACTTAATTCATGAGCTTCCCTCCTCAATATGAAATTTCACTTATCTTCCCTGCTCATCAAACAGAAAACTTCTCATGGTTCATTTTCACAATACACCATGAAACAATAAAAATATACAGATCAATGATATTTTAGTTTTCAGTTGGCACAGAAAAACCAAAGTGAAGCCTAGACAGACAAAAAGATCACATGGATCAAGGGAAGCAGCTAATTCTTTGAATTGTGAACAGCCGCAATAGTTGCAGAGTACATTTTTTTTTCCTTCACTCTTTTCAATGTTAAAAAAACATCAACAAAGTATTGTTGATTACTGAGCATCTGGTAATCTCCTTATGCATGTTTGCATCATACAACTGAATTTAATTTGATACTTGCTTTGTATTTATTACAATTGGAAAACTGCTGTTGAGTCAAGCTCTACAATAAACCTACTTTAAGAACCAGGCCCAACAAGGAGAGAAGCAGCAAACGTCCAGCAAGTCCAGCTTATCTAGAGCGTCCCACCTGCTGCACTGATAGCTGCGATATACACACGGACATAGCTTATTTTCAGAGCCCTTCAAACTTGGTCTAAGCTACATCTCTAAATTGCACAATATTTACAAGCTACCACCAAGTGACTAAGCTCCTTAAGTTTCCCTGGGCAAAGAAAAGGATGATGTCCAGAGAACCTTAAAGGTATCATTTAGCTCTTTCAAAGGTCCTAGGTTATAACACATGCCAGTTTTCACCACAGCTTATTTACAACCTAACCTCAACAAGCATAAAGCATTACAACACGTTCCTCTATCTAGTCTTTCAGTTTCTGATTAATAGAAAAATTGAGATGTTCTAGGCAATAAAAAACTAAGGCCAAGTCAGAGCTCAGAAAAATGTAGCTTTTAACAAGGGGAAAGGGGAAGCGAAATTCATCCCATCCTTCCCCACCAAGATCACCAAACAATTTAACAGAGATCTGGTTAGCATTTTGTTTTTCTTTTTACCAGTTGATCTTGATTCAGACGTTCTCCCTTGTTCATTCGTTCCTGGTAATCATCAAGTTTGCTCTGAAAAGAAAGAAAAACACTATTATGAGGAGCGAAAATCAGGTTACTGCTTTTTTCTACTTGTGCTAACAAAATTAGGTACTGTAATATTACAGTAAACACAGACTGTAACACATCACACAAGCATGCACCTGTTATGTAGAAACAGCACCCGAGAAAACTTGTCTTCTGGGTCAAAAAAATGTAAATACTTCCCCAAGAGACAAATATTTTAATGTTATTTGGCTATCACAGTACATCTTCACAACTAGTCTTAATTTCTGAGGAAATACACATTCCTCCTAATGGGGAGAGCACTCAGTGCACATTTCCTTCAGTCCACACAACAGCGCTGAACTCAGTTCTGCGTCAGAGCTTATTACCACTGTATCACTACAATACCAAAAACATGACTGCAAAAAACCACTGTCAACGCTAATAAGATTCAGAACTGTAATTCTTTGTACTTGCATCAGTTAAGATAGTTTTAAAGAATTTAAAACAGTTTCTAATCCTTTGTGCAAGAATGCCCACCAATACAATTCATATTAATAGCTCTAAAATATTTTTGTTCAAGAGCACTAAAATTTCTTTTTCACAGGGAGAAACTGAAAAAGGAATCATTAGGTTAATTTTCAGCAGAATCGGTTCTCTAATCTGCTTAAATACAAAACCATGTACAACACTGACATTAGCCAAAAGCAGGTAAAACTTAGGCATGCCAGAAGTGACAAAGAACCTACAGGTTAAGTAGAAAGGTTCTTAGATAGGAAGCAAAGTCTGTAAGAATAACATAACTAACTATTAAGCTCTAAGTTTTCACCATTTCTGTATTATCACATAGGCTTGTATTTTTTATTAAATTTACCTTGGTCTTATTAAAAGAAAGCCATTAAAATAAATCCTTAAGAATTATCTTCCCAATCCAGCATAACAACATGAAAAGGAAAGCAAACAGAAACACTTCATTTTGAATATAAAATAATTAAAACCCTGATGCAACCACTATTTCAGAGTTTATACCTGCCACACAGTGACAGGGTTTTTTGGTGGGGGTGATCTGTGGTTTTTTTACTGGTTTTGTTTCAGCACATTTCAGTTTAAATATTTTACTGGTATTTTTCTAGCTAAGTCAACTTCTATGCTCTATCTCAGACCTTTTGGAATGATCAAAGTCTGTGAAACAGTTTAACAAGAAAGCTCCTCTTACAAAGTATTTGATGCCAGGCATCACTTACTGAAACACATAGCCACCCTTGGTCCTTCTGATGTCACCTAGTGCCAACAGTTTATTTCTTTGGAAGTCCTACTGGTTAGATTTAACACTTAACTACTTCATCTTTCAGTGCATCAGAGCCAGTAATGGTCTAGGCAAAGTCAGAGAAGTAAGAACTTCCTCAACTGGGAATTTTACGCTGGGGACAGACACTAGCAGAGTAATAGTTGTCAAATGCAGCAGCCACAGTCGGTAATATACCAAAATTACTGCCAAAGAGCATTTGGCATATTGGAAATCTACCACAACAGGAAATAAAGCCTTTTTACTCTTATACATACTGATTTTAGAATAGGTAATGACATGGTTGGACAATCACAACAGTAGTTTTCATGATTTAAGAGACTGTAGCTGAGCTGTGAAGTCAAAAGGGAGGGTAAAGAGCTCAAACATTGCAATGCCCCAGTGCAAAGCCAGCCAGGTTAACCAATGCCTCTGCTGCTTCAGGTAGCTTAAATCCTACAATGAAGTGGCTTTGCAGACAGATTTTTAAAAGTTCCTGCTTGCTCAAGCCACTTACTCCCATGCTGCAGATTTCAGTTCCCTTGGTCACGCTGATGCAATTGTTTGTGAGGCTGCACAGTAAACAGACTGCTAATATGAGCCAGTTGAAACAGTGTCTACAAAAATGCAATTAAAAAAACCCAACAATTTCTGTGATCCAGTTTCCAACACAAACCCATAAACAACAACAACAACAGTAAACCAAACAGGACAGAACACCAAATTCTAGGAGAACACTACTGAGATCAACTTTGTTGAAGAAAACACAGATTGCAAAATTATGCTGCAAAACACTCACATCATCCATTTTGGTGGCTAAGGGCATAAGGGAGGGAAGAGACAGAAATACCCTAAGTAACTACAGTTGTTTCTGCATGGTTTTTCCACGCAGCCTTACTTCAGCGTGGTTGGTATCTTCACATAAAGCATACTGCAAGAACATATTCAAACAGGGCCTAAGTTTTTCTTAAATGGTCAAGTATTCTTAAGGTCTAATGCAAATGTTTTGTTCATTTTCATTCAGTAATGTCTCAACTGAAAAACAAAGGGTAATATGTCTATTTCTAACCATCAGAAGTTACTTCACTTTTTCTTCCTTAAAAACATCCGTATCAGGAAGGTAAAAGCAAAAGAAGGAAAGCCCTTTCAGCTGCAATGCAGAGGACAAGCGAATATGTATTTAGTTATATGTTGCCACAAAGATTTCAAATGCCAAGTAAGCATTTTTCTATCATCCCAAAGCCACTGTAAAATCCAAATGCTGCATTACACAAAAATAGTAAGGAAGAAAAGTGCTTTCTTTTTAATCTGTACCGTCAACTAACAGCAATCTAAGAGCAGCATTAGTGTTGTAAAGTAACTGCAGTAAAATTCCTGCTTAGCAACCTACTGCAGTGTCTGCAAGAAGTACAGATTCTCTTAATTTTACCCTCCCCTTACACAACTTCATCCTCACTCATCACAGATATACATCTTGAAGCATAAAAGCTAAACCAGCAGGGGGAAAAAACAAAAACAAAAAACAAACAAGTGGCAAAGCGAGCACATAAATTGTCTACTAAACAGCTCATGAGTCAGCAGACCCCAGTTCTGCAGATAGCGAGCCACCGCGCTTCAGCTCTTTTCCCACTGAGATACCTGAAGTATTCTGGAGTTCCCTAGGAGAAAAGCACTACATATAGGCTCTGGGGGGGGGGGCACAGGGGGAAGGCGGTGGTGGTCACTGCTTAAGTATGCCCTAGATTTTATTTTAATAGGAATCCAAAATTGAGTTACTTTATTATGGTAACAGATACCTTCCCCTCACACTCAAGTTCTCATTACCTTCTTTGAATTGCCTCAAAAATGTTACCTTAAAGTGGGGGGAAAAAAAAAAATGCAGTTACATGACATTAGCTTCAAAAACAATACCGGTTTTAAAAATGCCTGACCACTCAGCTGTGCTGTTACAGTCATTTACAGTGCTATGCTATAAACTGGATCACTGGAATGATCTGATTAAAAATAACCTTTAAAAAAGGGGTCAGGAGCAGGAGGGAGGTACTATATTTAACCAGATAATTTCACTGGTATGGTTTATACAGTTACAGCGGCACAAGTGTGTATGACAAGCTGCAAGGTGGAAGGGGAGAAGGTAACCTCTTCAACCAGCTGAAATACACATTTTGTAATGCACGCTGCACTACAAGCAAAGCAAAGATGGAGGGGACTATTGCAAGTCTGTTTTCTGAGATATCTCAAAAACTGCATCTACTTTTTTAACAGCATTAAGCAATTAAGACAATCCAAAATTTAAAATAGCTGCTTTATACATTTCCCACTGAAGCAAAAGAAAAGCCAAGCTGTGCAACAGAAGTTTATTAACTTGTTTTACATTTGTACATTGTGATGTATTTGCCCTCCACCATCATCTCCTCACTCATTCATCAGTCCAATTTCTCAGCAAAGACTGCCCAGAAATGACTATAAAGAAATCAGTCCTTCCATTTCCTCAGAAAAATAGACAGAAAAAAATCAAAAAGGTCAAACACTTAAACTGTACCAGGAATGAAACCCGGAAGTTCAGAACCTCTCAAAAAACCCCACCGTTCTCAGGTTCGCTATCTGGGTACACTTCCTATTACATATACACACCTAACAGAAGTCCCAAGAAGCTGTTTCAGTCCTAAGTTACAATCAAGAAGAGGTAATGAAGCATTAACACCAATACTCCAGAACACAAAACACTTACAGGTCTTCTGTTTAAACTGAATTAATTTTTGAAGTAACAGTTGTAAATATTCTTGTGTTTTTTTTCTCCAAAAGTCTGATAAGTTTGACAGTTTAGAAAAAAATTTCTGTATTAGTTTTTAAGCAGTGATAAAGACACACCAATTCTGAGACAGCAGTCCCACGATGAGCTTAGCCCGGAGGACACTGACCACAAAAGAGGTGCTCTCCTGCTCACCACGCGTTCTTGACCCTTCCCACACACCAAGGCCAGTCCCACAGCTGGGCCAGGAGCCCAATCTGACCAAACACGGACAGCCACAGGGATACAAGAATGGCTAGGAGCAGGACCGACTCCTTCCCAAAGAAATGCAGAGCTGATGGGTATGTGCAATCTTCAAAATGTAAACCTTTTAAACCCAGATGAGTTGACTACAGAGAAAAAAACTGCTTCTTCAGTAACCTGAACTAAGTTAAGCCACAGATGAGTGAAACTCCTAAAAGTTTTAGTGGCTGCATACATACATTCTCTTTCCAAATGACCATACAGTATTTCCTACAGAAACACTATGAATCTACACGTAAGCTGACTACACTACACTGCAAGACACCTAGATTTTGTTCTACACGTAATTTATATTCAACATCAGTTACTTCTACAACAAGTGAATTCTAGAAGACAAACTGGGTTCTAGAACACAAACTGGGCTCTGCCAACACATTCTGTGTATCTTTTTCTTCCAAAAGAAAAGTAAAAGCATGGACAAAACATCAAAGCAGCACCTGAAAATCTTAAGTAACTAGAAGATGTTTCACAGCTTGCAAGACTCACCATGAATCTAGTTAACAGAACTTACTATGAGAAATAATCCCAATGCTACATAAAACAGTTAAAAACAAAACAGCAAGCTGTACCAAACACCAAATAATTTCACAGATAAACCTGCTTGGTTTTTAAGAGATGAAGCTTGGTTATTCAAAACTGCTATCAAAAGAGGTTTCAAAGAAAGATTCGGACTTTCAACACTCAGTT